GTAACAATAATTTTGTTTTTATAAAATATGACTAGGTAAAAATGTTATTCAGTTTATTTTTATGTAAAGAAAACCTCAGCATCTTCGGCAAAAAAGTTCTAAAAAATCTACGGTAATTTTTTGCCACTCAAATCGAATGGGGTCACTTCTGAGGAAAAAGCTTGAAATTTTGATGAAAATTTGATGAATTTTCAGGGTTCTACAAAATTTTAAGCTTAGGCTTATATGGTATTTGTTACGGAATGAACTATATTTTAATTGAAAAATCTCAAAAATTAGTAAACATAAGAGTTTGGTCCAAACTGTATGTGTATATAAATATTTATAATCAATGACTTTTTAAAGAATTGAGTTATTGTAAAAATTAAAAAACATTGCTTTATCTATTTTTTAATAAAGTTTTTTTTTTATGTGTATATGTGTTTAAATAATGCTACGATCTTGGTTTTAAAATGCGTATACTTCATTAAATGTTCTTGTTTTATTCAGGGATTTATTTGAGCTGTTCAGTACACACATCGATTAACCCCACTTTCTGAAAACTCTTAAATTTAAGTGTCACAGCACTTGGCTGCCGTTTGGAAATTTTTCTAGCGAAGTGAAAACACACTAAAAGTCAGGTGTTTCGAAGTGACTTGGATGGAAAAGTGAAGTGATTATCGAAGTGACGTCTTTCAAGCATGATTAGGGGTGAGGGGTTTTTCGATTAGGTTATTTATCAGCTGACTGTTTAATCGATAATAGTTTTATCACAATAAAAGTAATCTTTAACCTTTATCAATTTATAATTTATTGTGTTCATGTGCAAATTTAGTGCTAGAATATCTTTAAAATCACAATCTCTCAAACGCTGAGGAAAGAAAATCTGAAATTACAGTTCGCTGATGAAATGACACTAAAATATCGATTATCGATTCACAGCAACAATGTCACCAGATACACAGCAACAATGGGATCACCAGATTCACTTAAATGTTTCCTTTTTGCTGTAAAATTGAAGATGTATGAAAACTAAAACATAATTGTTATTTTCGTCAAATATTTACTAAATAATTATGAAACTTTACCCACTTATTCCCTTTTGTGCGCTTTATATCTGTACATGTGAAAATGAAAATCAAAATGACTTCTTCCATATAACCGATGCAAGATTGGAGATTTATTATGCGTCTTTTTAGTAGCTTTTTGCGAAAAGTTACTTTGCCATACTTATCATTATATGGATTTTAGCAAAAGTTTGTCGAATTTAGTTAAATAAATCATTTATTTCAAAACAATTTTTATTTATTTTGATGATAAATCTAATATGTGGAAAGTGAACTAAAGCGAAGTGAAATGAAGTGAAGGCTTCCAAAGTGAAGTGAAAAACTTCAATTGAACTGACAGCGATAGCACTGCTTGGTATGGTCACAACTTATTACGTTTATAAAACCTTTATATAACATACAATAGTACATAATATCTATAACAACGTTATTTATTTGATTTTATAATATAAATGGAATTTTTAAAAATAATGTACATTATTTGATCGCATCTCCCAACTTTTTGGTGATGGTGTTAATCAATTTGTGCACTGAACGGCTCATTTATGTAAGTTAAAAGAAGTTACAACTATAATTATGTTCGCTTAAGTACCCGCACCTAGGTACTTAAACGGGTTCTTTTAAGTACCCAACCCGCCTAAGTACCTCAAAAAGCTGAAATTTTTCGTGTAGTACTTAAGCGGGTTTTACTGTAACTACATTTTCTGAAACTTCTGTGGCATTTTTTATTTCCACAACAGTTGTTGACTATTTGCACATTTGTGCCCGGAAACAAAGTCTGGGCTGCTTCGGGCACGAAGAGAAAACATTTTCGATCCGAAAGTGGCACTTATTCGCTCTCTATTACCCATTTTTATAGCATAAGAAATGCTGCCTGGGCTGTTTTGAGCACCCGCGGTAACCTATTGTAGTAAATTAAACAAGGCGAGTTAACGGAATTTTTTGGAAAGTGTGCTGTTTCC